ACTCAGGAGGCAGGGGCAGGTGGAACTCTGCCTTTGAGGACAGCCTAGTCTACAGAGCGAGTTCCAGGGCAGCAGAGGGGAAACAGAAACTGTGTGGGGAAAGGTCGAGAAACAAACAAACAAAAAAACAAACAATCTTCTGTGCGTAACATTCCTGGTTTCCCTGGAGATCTGAGGGCACAAGGACTTTTGTGCCTAACAGATCAACAGTATTCCATAGCGTGTACATACCGCATTTTTGTTACCCGTTCATCAGTTGAAGGACATTGAGGTTTCCATTTCCTAGCTATTGTGAACAGAGCAGCAATGAGCAGGGCTCAGCAAGTTTCTGTGGAGCAGGGTGTAGAGTCCTTTGGACATATGCTAAGAGGAGGTGTAGCTGGGTCATAAGGTAGATTTATTCTTTTTTGAGAATTCTCCACACTGGTTTCCACAGTGCCTTCACTCCCACTAAGAGGGAATGAAGCTCCCTTTCCCACAGCCCTCCAGCATTTGTTGTCTGTTGTTTCTGTTGTTTTGTTGACCTTTGTCGTTCTGATTAGAGTAATATGAAATCTCAAAGTTAATTTGATTTGCATATCCCTAATTGCTAGGGATAACGAACATTGTTCACTTTTTTTTTTTTTTTTTTTTATTCCTTTTGAGAACTCTATTCGGGTTCCGGGACCATTTTTTTTTTCAAACAGGTCATTTATTATTTCTACTGTTTGTTTTTTGAGGTTTTATACATTCTGTATATTAATCCTGTCAGATGTTTCCCTGGCAGAGGTTCTCTACTGTTCCGCGGGCTTCTTCACTGAGTGTTTAGTTAGATGTGCAGCTTTCTAGTTCTATGAGGTCCTGTGCAAATGGAGTCCTATTCAGAAAGACCTTTCCTCCCTAGATCTTGCAGGGGGCTGCCTATGTTTTCTTCTGGCAATTTCAGAGTTTCAGGTTTCACATTTAGGTCTTTGATCCACTTGCAAGTTGATAAAAGGAAGGCTTTTTTCACCTTGCCTTTGAAGAGCGCTATCCGCACTGCCCGCCACTTACCACTAGAGGGACCCTATGCTCAGATGTGGCTGCTCCATAAGCGTTTCTGGTTCTCCTCCATGGGAGGCTTGTTGGCGAGGCACACGGCTGAGAGGATGACGGAAATGACTTCGGGGAACCACTTCCGGGAGATAGTTCAACTTTACTGTGGGAGAGCAAAGCAGGGGACTTCCAGGATAGGTGTCCACTCTTGGTGGACTAGACACTCCAAGAATGCTTGATTAAACGGTACAGTCCTATCATATGAATGGGAACACAGGACCTAATTACCCTATAGGTGCAGGCAGGGGACAGCTAGCAGGGAGCTGTAGCAGACGTGGTGAGGGCATCTATGCCTTAAGACGCTCTCCAGAGGATGTCAGGCCGAGAGCAGGAGGCCCTGCTGGGGAGAGGGAGCCCTGCACCTTAACGCCGAGCTCAGCATGGCCATCCTGACTGGGAGGACTGCAACCTCAGACAGCACAGTCCTTCCAACAAGCATCGAGATGGAATTGCTAATTTCCTTTTTCTGCCTGTGGACGGCTAGTTTCCCCAGCACCACTTGCTGAAGATGCTTTCCTTCCTCCAGCATATGTTTTGGAGTCTTTGTCAAGCATCAAGTTGCTGAAGTTATGTGTATTCATGTTTCAGTCTTTAGTTTTGTTCCATTGGTCTCCTTGTCTGTTTCTGCGCTGGTCCCATGTTTTTATTACTGTAGCTTTAGATCTAGAATGGTGATCCCTCCAGTATTGTTTTTGTTTTTGCTCAGGATTGTTTTGGCTATCCAGGATTTTTTGTGGTTCCATATGAATTTTAGGAAAGTTTTTTTTTCTATTTCTGTGAAGAGTGAGAAATTTTGATTGGGATTGCATTAAATCTGTAATAGCTTGAGGTAGAACGGTCATTTTCACGACCCTAAGTCTACTACTCCAGGAGCATGGGATGCCCTTTCATTTTCTAATGTCTTTATCTCTTTCTCAGAGATTTGAAGGTTTCATTGTAGAGGTCCTTCACTTCCCTGCTTAAGTCTATTCCCATGCATTTTATTTTTTTTGAGACCATTCTGAATGGTCTCCTTCTGTGTTGGTGATGTGTAGAAAAAAAAAAGGCTTTATTCTAACTAAACCCAAAGTTTACCTTCCTTTGAGATGGATAAAGAGAAAAACATTTTTTTCTGATATCGGAATTGGATGTATTCTAGGTATACCGGTCTTTACCCTGTCCTTCAGCGCTTCTCAATGCCGATGGAGTGGGTAACCGCTTCTGATCAAAGGGTCCCTCTAGTGGTCATTGGCGGTAGTGCTTATAGCTCTATTCAAATACAACCAATATATTATTACTGCAAAGCAAATCTTTGGTTTGGTTTTGCTTATTTTTAAACATGCAACTAGTACTGCTCTGGAACTAGCCATGTATACTAGGCTGGCCTCAAAAGGCCACAGACTTACAGAGATCTGTCTGCGTCTGCTTCCTGAGTGTTGGGATTAAAGGTGTGCACCACTGTGCTGTGCTGGTTAAACTTTTGTTTATCTTTATTATTATTATTTTTTGATACTGAGTCTCTCTATTACACCTCTGGCTGTCCTTCAGCTCACAGAGATTCACTTGCCCTGTCTCTTGAGTGCTGTGATTAACCACCTGGCCTGTTTTTCTCTTTTAAAATTTTATGTGTTTAATTGTATAAGGTCCCAAGATTTGGTGGGGTGCGTATGTGAATTTGGGTGCCCACAGAGGTGCCAGATCTCCTGGGTGTGGAGTTGCAGGAGGTTGTGGGATTGCTATTCAAGTTCATTGTGGACGCTAGGATACTTTTCTGGGGCAGTGCCTATTCTGTGTAGGCAGTGTAGCTTTTTCTGTGTAGCCTTGGCTGTCCCGCCTGGACTCACTTTGAAGAGCAGGCTGTCCTTGAACTCATAGCAGTCCATCTGCCTCTGCCTCCTAAGGGCTGGAATTAAAGGCCTGCATCACCACACTAGGCTGCAGTGCCGACTTTTAATCACTGAGCCTGTAGCCTCAACGTTTTGGGTTTGGAGATGGGGGGGTCTTACTCTAGCCAAGTCTGACCTGGATTCACTATGTAGCCCAGGCTGGCTTTGAACATCGCAGCATTCTTCTTTCCTTAGCTTCCCAAGTGCTAGGCTTAATAGTTTTGTTTGTTTGGTTGTTTTGAAAGGGTTAGACTAACTTTGTAACCTGTATGTCTTCTAAAGCCTATAGTTTTGAATTTTAGGTTCAGGTTAAGCTAAGGCCTCTTAGTACCTTTCCAGAGAATGGAGAAATGTGATCCTATCTGTGAGGACAGATAGAAAAAAAAGCGAGCAAGCAATGACCTTCACTCAGCAAAAAGAAGGACCAGACCCTTGTCTTCGAGGTAATGTTTCTTAGCAACCAACCCAGATGGCCCCAATTCTTCTGAGTAGCTCCTGACCTCCAGCCAAGAGCCTGCAGCTCTAATCTTCAAGGATGAGCTAACCACCCCCACCTTCAATTGCAGCTGCATCCACACTTGGCAGGACTGGCCAAGCTTGAGCACCTAAGACTAACCAATTATCTTACTTGATAGCTTCCTCATCCAATCCTAAATTGCCAAAACTGTAACTTCAAATTTCACGCAATATTTCTTTTAAAAATCTAAGGCCTTTGTCTCTGGGTGCCACTCTTTGCTGACCAGCAAGGGTGACCCCATTGTGCAATAGTTAAATTAAACCTCTTGCTTTTGCAACGAGTCGTGGTCTGTGGGAGTTTCTGGGAAGGGCGCGATCTTAAACTCCTGAGCTGTGAGACCCCAGGTCTTACAGTTTTACAAAAACATTTATCTCTCTTAGTTTATCTCTTGTTGAGAAATCTTGTTGAGAGAAAACGCCATGACCAAAAGCGAATTGGGGAGGAAAGGGTTTATTTAATTTACACTTCCATATCACTGTTCATCATTGAAGGAAGAGATTTAAAAGGGGTAGGAACCTGGAGGCAGGAGCTAATACAGAGGACTTACTGGCTTGCTGCAAATGGCCTGCTCAGCCTTACAGAACCCAGGACCACCAGCCCAGGTGTGGCGCCACTCAAAATGGGCTGAGTCTCCAATAATGACCAGGCTGTAAGCAAGCTCCTTTTCTTAATTAGGGATTGATGGGTAGGACTCTAACCCAAACCCTAACTCTAGCTTTTACACAATCCTAATGCTCGCCCTAAACATAAACAAAGCCTTCAACTTAACCCTAACAGTAACATTAAACCTAGCATTAACACCAGTCCTAACACAAACCCTGACCCTATGCTACCCCTAAAATTAAATCTAATCCTAGCCCTATCCCTGCTATAACCTTCAATACTAACCCTAACCAGAACTTCTGTTGTATTATTTTATGGAGTTTTACACACACATACACACACACACAGTCACTCAAACCCCCCCCCCCCCAAAAAAAAAAATGTAATGACAAATTCATGTTTGTGGTATATGGGATTTTCCATCATTTGGTTATTGCTGAACCACCTACTATTCTTCCATCAAACCTGCCTCTAGCTTGGGCCTGGTGGTGTGGTTGACATTATGGTGGTAAGGCTTGTGTGCTTTCCCTGAGCTATGTGATCTGAGGCGCACAGACATCACAAAACTCCGGAACGTCTTCACAGAGCACAGACCTTCCCCATCTCCACTCATGCCCACGGCAGTGAATGACCACTTTAAAATACATCCCCAGCCCGTGAGATTAAAATGGCCTTCTTTCTCTCCTTACTTTGAAAATGTCACAGATTTAATATGGGTCCTCACTGAAGACTGATCTTGCTGCTTGTCCTTCAGCCACGACCTCCTGCCTCACCAAGGAATACAGATGTTGAAGAAATGCTTGAGAAGACTCATGACTCAAGAGCATGATTACAGAAGGCAACAAGGCTTCATCCTCAAACCTCTGGTGTAGTGAAGACAATTAACTAATAAAAACTAGAGAAGAGTAACCCTAGAGGAAATCCATAATTGATGAAGCGTAATGACAGAGCATCAGCCGCCTAACGGGAGACAGGCCTTTCAGAATGTTCGCCACAGTGCACCCATTATGAAACAGTCAGAGAAGGAGCTGAATCGAAATTACCTTGAAGATGTTCAGTGACCAGAGAATGCTTCGGAGAGTACTGCCAGGGACCGCCTTATCACTTCACATGATCAGCATCTGTTAGGCTTTAACTTGGAAGCCTTAATTTAGAACCCGTCAGAATTTACAGTCCTTTAATAGTCCATAACAACACAATAAAAGTAAACATATAAATGTGTTTAAAAGAAAGAGAGTTCGGATAATAAGTATTAGGCAATTTGTACTCTGGTTTAATAATCTTAACATCTTAGGAGTTTGCATTTGTAAGTAAGTGACAGTTTACTCAGATCAGGCTGCCTTTACAACATCACGAGTTTTTTCCTCTCATAACGTGATAGGAGAGAGCAACTGCCCGATGAACAAACTCTGCTGAACTGAGTGGACTTGAGCTCGACAATTGTGACAACTCAGCCATCTCCTCTGAAGGTACTAATGGGCTCCACAGCCTGCCATGCTTCCCAGCGCACCTCAGCCTCACCGCCAACGGGAGGACGTCGTCCTTGATTTCTGTGAAGAACAGAGTCAGAGACCCAAGCTTGTCATCCCCAGTGCATCTGCAACCTAGGGAAACTGTGCACAGAGGCAGTGAGTAACTCAAGTTCACTGGGTGAACCTAAGAAGCTGCAGAAGGTGGCGGCTTTGGACTCGAGTTCCAGGCTCAGGAAGTCTGAGCGAAATCAGCCCACTGCTTCAAATGTGGATCTCATTAGAGAAGTCAGTTACGCTCTCAGGGCCTCAGTTTCCCCTCTGTGTAAAGGGAGTAGTTATTCTGGTTTTCATATCTCATGAAGTTGGTCTAAGCCACAAAAAGTGACAGCTTCCAATAGTCTTTAGAACTAACTAAGAGCTGTGGGGGGTGACGCCTTAGTTTTGAAGGATAAAGCTTAATAAAACCCACCTAAAATACATAGTTGCTCGTGATAGTCACAAGTACTCACACATTTCTATTTAAAACAATAGTGCAAAGTAAGAGAGCACACTCAATGGAAAATATACTCATGAACAACAAAATAGAACTAAGAAGGCAATAATAAATAAGGGAATGTGTGCTTCTGAAATGACTATCGAGAGCAAGGAAACGTCCTTTATTGTCATTATTTATTTATTTTGAAATTATAATTTAGTTATAATATTTCTCCATTGTATTTCCTCCCTCTAAACTCTACCATATTCCTTTTACCACTCTCTTTAAAATTCCTAGTATATTCTTTTTAAAAAGCTAACTGTTACTTCATGAACATATGTATGTTTTTTCCTAAATATAAACTGGTCCATCCATAAATGCCACCTGCATGCAGGTTTTCAAGGTTGACCACTTCGCATTCATCAATCAACATTCTTTCCCTTCCCTGAGAAAAGCCACCTCTCCCAGCCCAAGCTTACCTATAGTTTCTTATTTTTTGATACTTGGGACAGAGTCCAGAACAAATGGACTGCATTCTTTGCCTTTTTTACTCTGTTTCACTTATTGTTCTTTAGTGGTATGACAGCACTGCAGGAAATTGTCCAAGCTGCTCTTGAACTCATGATCCTCTTCCTCAGCCTTTTATCAGGCTGATGTTACTGGATTCTGCCATAGCTAGCACAAAAATAAGACAACGTGAGATAATATTGTACATGAGAATGGAAACAAAATGAAGGAATCCAAATAATAAAATCAAGAGTAAAAATGACATTAAAATATCACATGCAAGTATATGTGTACATGTTTTTAAAAAGCAAAAGGTGGTATCTGCCATTATCACCAATGATTCCTGACTCTCCAGATACCTGTGTTTCCACAAACCTCATACTGGAATTTCCTCCACCTGCTGAGGATGGAGCTTACTAAGTATGCTCTCTGATGAACACACCAGGATGTGAGCGTTCAGATCCTGAAAGAGATCAGCCTTGAAGTGTGTCAGAGTCCATCAGTTGAGGAGTCCACAGTGATTTCAGTGTCCTATCAAGTGGACAGAGTCTTTAGAGAAGTTAGGTATCAATATCCACTTGATGGGGTTAAATATAAGTGTTGGTAAAGCTTTGAACGTCTCCAGAGAAGTGCAGAGAGACTGAATTGTTCAGCTTGGCCTCATACTAACTTTGGCAATATGTTCTAAACTTCTGGCTCCTTCTCATCCTCTGGCTTGTTCTGTCTTCACCTGTATCCAGCTTGTTCTCTCTGACACCTGTTTCTGCAAAACTGTCTTGGTAAAAACTGCCTCTGAACATCACTGCCACAAACTGAGCTCAACTGACTTCAATTCTACTCCACTGAACTGACTGAACTGACTCTCAACTGCCTCTCCCTGCGCCATTTTAAATGGCTTTTCTTTCCTGTGCTGTTCTCGTGTGAGCTGGGCGTATCCTATTCTGTCAAATCTTTCTTTGATTTGTTACTTTGTCTGTCCCTCAATTAGATGTCACTTTTCAACATGGCTGCTTGCTTCTATAACCTAACCTTTCATTTTTTGGGATTAAAGGTGTGTACTAAGGGTGTATCTGTATTCGAGCTGGATCACACAGACAGAGAAGATCTTTGGATGTGATCATGTTTCTGGATTAAAATTCCTCTGCATACTCCACACACCTCTGCTGCACCCAGAACAGACAACAACCCATACTACTTTATCTCATCCTCCTCCACACTCCCAGGTTCCTGGGTTTGTCTGTGTTCTCAATGTTGTGTGTCCATCATCAGGCCCGTCATTTCCCAATTCACCTCTATGTGTGTCTGTGCAGAAGATGGTGTGACACATTAACAGATATTCAATTTCTGACTGTCAGTGTCTAGTGACTGAGCCCTTGCTGCATCTGTATGGAAGGTGCTGGAATTTTCTCTCTGGCTATTGAAGACTTCCCCCTCCTCCCTCACTCATCAAGCCTTGAGTGAGTTTGGCATATTCTTATAAACCGGCTGTTTGGATTCTTTCTGGTTCAGGGTGTCTCAGCCTCCCTCCTTCCTGGACATGGTAAAACTTCCTGGGGAACCACCCTATCATACATGCATGAAAGATGACGTTTAGACTATGGAAAGAATGTCAAAATTAAAGAATTTTATAGTAAGAAACTTTCAGAAGTTGAAGGAAGCTACAAATCTGCCAGGGCAAGAAATAAGGGATTCAGTAGAAAGGTTTGGAAGAAAGGAAGAAAGACAGAGGAAGGAAACAGGCCTCTGGCTGGGGACGCTTGGCTCGCTTACAGAATCCGAGGAGCTAGAGCGTTTGGCCAAGTAGAGTAGGCCCAGAACTTACAGGCTGCCCCTTGCTCATGGGTGTTTCCTCTACCCCATGAAAGATTGTGTCACAGATGAACATTGTGGTGTCCCTGCAGGGAATGAGAGGAATTGAGGTGGGACAGGAAGTGTTCACATAGCTCTGTGGATGGAAGGCTATTAGTAAGAGTCTAGAAAATGGAGGCTGATCCCTGTCAGGAGTTTTCACCAACATGGTTCAGGAATTCAAAACTGCTAGACACAGAATAGCTGCCTGGCATCCAGTAACTCACGCCTTTGAACTTGACTACGTTTTGATCAAGTAGGAATACCCTCATTTCTATATCCCTGGTTTACGTGGAACCCAACTTGCATGTCTAAGAATGCGGACAGAAATTACATTCACAGGGACTCACAAGAATTGTATATCATTCATTCATGGTTGTCTTCCTTTGCATGTTGTGAATTATATGCCAGGAAACTGCGTACAAATGCACTCACTCTGATCATAAAAGGAATTGAGGGCCATTCTCTAATTCCTGTATGCCCAGCAGTTTTCATGTAACACACATAATATATCTTATAATTATAAACTTGCTGTTTCCCACCTATTATAATTATGGCATACATCTAACCAACTACATTGAAGCCCTCTAAGAGAAATGTCTAGGGAGCAGGGCCCATTCTTATTCTTCTTCCTTGGGTCCCTCCTACTTGTCCTGCTTCGGCTCGGGTCGCTGAAAACTTCTGTCTATGTAGTCTCAGCATCACTGGAAGGTGAGCTTGCTGCAGGCCTTGATTTAGGACCCCAGAAGCTCATCACGCTCTGATGGGTTGTGCTGGCTCTCCTCTTGGCTTTGTGTCCAGACCATATGTGGTTGAGTTTTTCTTTAACATTTTGTAAAAAATTATGTTGAAATTTTGATGGGAATTGTATTGAATTTTAGATTGCCTTTGGTAGGATCACCATCTTCACTATGGTAACCCTGTTGGTTGCCTCCATGAGCATGGGAGCCCTTTGCAACATCTGATATCTTTTTCAATTTCTTTCTTTGAAGATTTGAAGTTTTTGTCATAGAAGCCTTTCACTTGCTTGGTTAGAGCTACTTTGGCATGAAAATAGTTTATATTATTCATTGCTATTTTGAAGTATTATTTTTCTTAGTTTCTCAGCCCATTTATCATTTGTATAAAGGAGGGCTACTGATCTTTTTGAGGTAATTTTGTATCCAGCCATTTTCCTGAGAGAGTTTAGCAGCTGTATGTGTTCTCTGGTATAATTTCTGGAGTTGCTCTTGTATCCTATCATATCATCTTCAAACAGTGATATTTTAACTTCTTCCCTTCCAATTTGTATCCTCTTGCTCTCCTTTAGTTGCTCTAGCTAGAACGTGAATGGCTATGGAGAGAGAGGACAGCCTTGTCTTGCCCTTGATTTTAGTGGAATTTCTTTAAGTTGCTCTCCATTAAATTGATGTTGGTTATCAGTTTGCTATATATTGCCTTTGTTGTGCTTAGGGTTTAGACATGCACCTGTATCCCTGATCTCTCTAAGACTTTTATCATGAAGGGGTGTTGGATTTCAACAAAGGCATTTTCAGCATCTAATGAGAGGTTCATGTGTTTTTTTTTTGTTTTTTTTTTTCAGTTTGTTTATATGGTATATTACATTGATAGTTTTTACCTGTTGAACTATTCCTGCATCTCTGGGATGAATCCTACTTGATCATGGTGGATGATGTTTTTGATGTGTTCATGGATTTGGTTTGTGAGTATTGAGTGTTTTTGCATCAGTGTTAACAAGAGAAATTGATATGAAGTTCTCTTTCTTTGTTAAGTCTTTGTGTGGTTTTGGTATCAGGGTGACTGTGGCCTTGTGGAATGTGTTTGCAATCTCACTTCTGTTTCTATTTTGTAAATAGTTTCAAGAGTATTGGCATTAGCTCTTCTGTAAATGTCTGGTAGAATTCTGAGCTAAAACCGTCTGACCCAGGCTTTTATTGGTTGTGAGACTTTTAATGACTGTTTCTATTTCCTTAGGTATTGTAAGTCTATTCAAATTGATTACTTGATCTTGATTTGAATTTGGTAAGTGGTGTCTATCAAGAAAATTCTTCATTTCATTTATATTTTCTAACTTTGTAGCATATAGGTTTTTCATAATTCTTTGGATTTTCTCAGTGTCTTTTATGTCTCCCTTTTCATTTCTGATTTTGTTAATTTGGAGACTGTCTCTCTGCCTTTTAGTTTGGCTAAAGGTTGGTCTATCTTGTTGATTTTCTCAAAAAACCAGTTCTTGATTTTGATGATTCTTTGTTTCTATATTTATTTCAGCACTGAATTTGATTACTTCCTCTTGAGTTTGTTTGTTTCTTTTTGTTCTAGAACTTTCAAAAGTGTTTTTAAGTTGCTATTATGAGATCACTCTAATTTTTTTATGAAGGCCAAGTGGCATGAACTTTTTTTTTTTTTTTTTTAGCAGAGCTTTCATTGTGTCCTACAATTTTGGGTATATTGTGCCTTTGTTTTTAATTTCTTTCTTCCCTGATTCAGTGGTCATTGAGTAGAGAGTTGTTCAGTTTCCAAAAGTTTGTAGGCTTTCTTTTGTTGTTGAACTCCAGCTTTAATCCATGGTGGTGTGGTAAAATACAAGAAGTTATTTCAAGTTTCTTGCATCTGTTGAGACTTGCTTTGTGACCAAGTAGTTGGTCAGTTTTGGAGAAGGTTCTGTAAAGTGCCGAGAAGAAGAAAGTGTGTGTGTGTGTGTGTGTGTGTGTGTGTGTGTGTGTGTGTATTTGTGTTTGGTTGAAATGTTCTGTTAGGTCCATTTGTTCATAACATCTATTAGTTTCATCATTTCTCTGTTTAGACCTGTCCATTGATGAGAGTAGGGAGTAGAAGTCTCCCACTATGAGGGTGTGGTGTTTGATGTGTGATTTAAGCTTTATTAATGTTCTTTTATGAATGTGGGTGCCATTGCATTTGGGGTATAGATATTCAGAATTGAGACATCATCTTGGTGGATTTTTTTTTCTTCAATGAGTATGAAGTGTCCTTCCCCATTTGTTTTGATTTTATTAGAATGGCTAGTCCAGCTTGGTTCTTGGATTTGTTTGCTTCAAAAATCTTTTTCCAGCCCTTTACTCTGAGGTAATGTCTATCTTTGTTGCTGAAATGTGTTTTTTTGTATGAAGCAGAATGATGGATCCTGTTTTTGCATCTTTTCTGTAAGTCTGTGTCTTTTTATTGGGGAATTGAGCCCACTGATGTTGCGATATATTAGTGAGCAGTTGTTAAGTCCTGTTATTTTGATGTAGGTGGTAGTGAGGGACCACCTGGGAATGAGAAAAAACAACTGTGATTATTTGAATTGAAGCCAGGTTCAGAGAACTCTTGAAGGGCGGGGTGAACTGTTCTGAGAAACAACCAGCTGTAAACTATCTACAACCAGCTATAAACTATAGAGCAAAAGTGATCTGATTTTCAGGTATAAAAACCCTGTGCTTTGCATGTTCGGGGTCGTCTCCTGTCTTTGGAGGGGCGACCCTATTGAGATAGCAATAAAACCTCTTGCTTTTACATCGAGTTGTGGTCTGTGAGAGTTCCTGGGAAGGGAGCCATCCTGAGCTCCTGAGCCGTGAGACTCCAGCTCTTACATTTTGGTGCCTTTGGCTAGGAAAGAGCGTGCCCCTTCCCATTCCTCATCACACTGGGCTCAGAGGTCCAGCTCAGAACAGGTTAGTCTGATTCCTGGTTGTATCTGTTTAGGTGCCTATCTGGACCTTTTTGGTCATCTGATCAGTCATTGCGATAGACAGACGTGTCAGAATATCACTTGACTGGGAACCGGAGGACACTCCAGATTCCATCTGGGGAGGCTAGGTCCGTGACGGTCCTCCTCCTATCTGTTGGAGACGGCCTTAGTGAGGCAGCCTCTCCAACTGAATTCTGTGGTACCACCCGCAAGGGCATCCTTGTCTAATTGCCTGTCTTGTTTACTTTGTCTCTATCGTTGTTGCTTCTTTGACTTTCTTGATGGACACTTTATTATGGGACAGACTGTGACTTCTTTTTGACCTTCCACCTCCTTATCGGCCGGCTTTCCCCCCCACTAATCCCCTAGCAGGTCTGCAGCAAGGTGCCACCAGCAGTCCCTCCCCACCGCTGCAGTCGCCACCAGTTTCTGAAAGTGAAAGTGGTCATGGGCTGGAACGTGGAGTCACCCCCTCCCCCCGATGACGGTGGAAATCAGTAATTGGAAGGCCCATAATCTCCTTTTCCAAAAATCCTCAAGCTCTAGCTGATTTGTTTGAATCTGTCCTATTCTCACACCAGCCCACTTGGGATGATTGCCAGCAACTCTTGCAGGCCCTCCTGACTACCAAGGAACAGGGGCGGGTTCTCCTTGAGGCTAGAAACAATGTGCCAGGAACAGATGGGAGGCCTTCCATCCTCCCTAATGAGATTGATGATGGCTTTCCCCTCACCTGCCTCAACTGGGATTACAACACACCCGGAGGTAGGGATCGCCTGAAAGTCTACCGACAGACTCTAATGGCAGGTCTCCGTGGGGCCACTCGAAAGCCCACCAATTTGATAAGGTAAGAGAGACAGTTCAGGGGCTGGTTGAATCTCCTGCAGGATTTCTTGAATGGCTGATGGAGGCATACCGCCCGTTTATGCCCTATGACTCTACCTCAGATTAGCATAGGGCAATGGTGACTATAACCTTTATAGACCAGTCAGTCAGAGATATTTGTAGAAAACTCCAGAAAATAGAGGGGTTATAGGACAAGTTGTTGAAGGATTTAGTGCAGGTAGCAGAAAAGGTTTTCTACAGCCGGGAGATGGAAGAAGAGAAAGAGGAAAGAAAGCAGAAAGAGCAGGAAGCGAGAGAAAGGGATAAGAGGCAAGACAGAAAGTTGACTAAGATCCTGTCCACCATAGTGCAGGAGTGTCGTAATGATAGGGAGAGAGTTCCTAGCAATTGGAGGGGCCCTCTGTCTAAAGATCAGTGTGCCTATTGCAAGGAGAAAGGACACTGGGTCAAGGATTGTCCCAAAAGGAAAAAAAAAGCCAGAAAAATGGAACGCTCGAGCCCTGGAGACCCGGGTCCTAACCCTGGGCGATGATAGTGACTGGGGAGACGGGGTTCAGCTCCCATCCCTGAGCCCAGGGTAACTGTTAAAGTGGAAGGGAAGCCAGTCCACTTCTTGGTAGACACTGGCACCCAGCGTTCTGTTCTGTTACAAGAATTTGGAGCTAAAAAGAGAAAAAATCGTGGGTCCAAGGAGCCACTGGATGTAAACAATATTCACGGACTACCCGAAGAATGGTGGACCTTGGAATGGGCCGGGTATCCCACTCATTCTTAGTTGTCCCCGAGTACCCGAACCCGCTGTTAGGACGAGACATCCTAACTAAGATAAGGGCCCATATTCATTTTAGACCAGATGGCCCACAGGTGACAGACAGACAATAAAGGGGATCCCATTCACGTGGTCTGTGAGAGTTCCTGGGAACGGAACGATCCTGAGCTCCTGAGCAGTGAGACTCCAGGTCTTACAGTAGTAAGATGTGTGTTTGTGTATGTGTGCTTGTTGACCTTTCATTTTGCTTGTGTGGAATTGTTTCTTTTTTTTTTTTTTTTTGGCGGGGGGTGTAGTTTACCTTTTTTTGGTATGAATTTTTCTTCTAGTATCCTTCTGTAGGGCTGGGTTTGTGGATAGATATTGTTTAAGTTTGGTTTTGTCATGGGATATCTTTTTTATCTCCATCTATGGTGATAAGAAATTTGCAGGGTATTGTTGTCTAGGGTGGCATCTGTGGTCTCTAAGAGTATGCAAGACATCTGCCCAGAACTTTCTGGCTTTTAGAGTCTCTGCTGAGAAGTTGGGTGTGATTCTGATAGGTCTGCCTTTATATGTTACTTGGCCCTTTTCCCTTGAAGCTTTTAATATTATTCTTTGTTCTTCACATTTAGTGTTTTGATTATTATGTGGATGGAGGATATTTTTTTCTATTCCAATATATTCAGTGTTCTCTATGCTTCTTCTTGTATGTTTATCGGCATCTGTTTCTTTAGGTTAGGGAAATTTTCTTCTATGATTTTGTTGAAAATATTTTCTGGGCCTTGGAGTTAGGAATCTTCTCTTCCTATTATTCTTAGGTCTGGTCTTTTCGTAGTGTCCCAGATTTCCTGGGTGTTTTGAGTCAGGAACCTTTTAGGTTTAAAATTTTCTTTGACTGATGTATCGATTTCTTCTATTGTATCTTCTATGCCTGACACAATCTATTCCACCTCTTTTATTCTATTGGTGATGCTTTCATCTGTAGTTCCCGTTCTCTTACCTAGGTTTTCCTTCTCCAGGATTTCTTCAGTTTCTGTTTTCTTTATTGCTTTTGTTTCCATTTTCAGGTATTATACAGTCTTATTCATTTCCTTCACCTGTTTGATTGTATTTTCCTGTATTTCTTTAAGAGATTTATTTCTTTTTTCTTTAAAGCCCTCTATCATCTTCATACAATGGCATTTAAGTTCATGTCTTGTACTTCAGCCATGTTAGGACAGTCAGGGCTTGTTGTAGTAGTGCATCTGGGTTTTCTGGTGGTGCCATATCTCCCTGGCTTCTGCTGATTGAGCTCTTTTGCTGGCCTTTACCCGTCCAGTTGCCCCTGGTGCAAGCAGGCCTCTGGGAATGCAAGCAGAATTGTGGGCTGCAAACTGGAGCGCAGGGGACTTGGTGGACTTTATAACTATTGGATGTGCTGCAGGAGGACTTGGCAGGTAGGGGTCTGGGGAGGAGGGGTTTTACATGGTCATCTCTGATGCTGGCAGGCCTCCAGGAATGCAGGCAGAATTGTGGCATGGAAAATAAAGTGCAGGAGACAAGGCACATTTTGCTGCTGTTGGGTGTGCCCTAAGGGGACCTGGCAGGCATGGAGCCTGTTCATTGCTTCCAGTGTTGGCAAGTTCTGGGAATGCAGGCAGAACTGTGGGCCAGAAAATGGAGCTCAGGACACATGATGCAGCTCACTGCTTCTGGGTGTGCCCCAGGAGGGCTTGGCAGGCAGGGGATTGGGTGGTAGGGGTTTCACATGGCTGGCCCTGTGGCCTGCAGGCCTCTGGGAATTTAGGTAATGTTGTGTGCAGAAAATTGGAGCACAGAATATAGGGTGCAACTTAGCCCTGTTGGACTTTCCCCAGGTGGATTCCATTCCACTTATTAGACTGACATCTAAGAAAATACTATTACTACAAATTTATAAAAAAATCTACAGAACTGATAAAAATTGACCTATGCTATTTTATATGGAGAATAATGTCCATGTTTGCTCATTGATCATTAAAGTTAATATTGTAAAAATGGCCAGCCTACCAAGAGCAATGTACAGATTCAAGGCAGCGCTCATAAAAATTCTAGTGCAGTTCCTTGTGGATATTGAAAAACAATTTCAAATTTCATATAGAATCATAAATGACTCAGGAGTCAAGATAAACAATCTTGAACAAAAAATTCCTAGTGATGTCACCACCCCAGATTTCAAGTTAAATTGCAGAGCTACAGCAATAATACTAGCATGGCACTGGCAAAAAATAGACTAATTGATCAATGGAATGGAAATGAGGATCCATAGAAGCACACATTCCTACAGCCACCTGATTTTTGACAAAGACATCAATGGCACACATTGTAGAGGAGACAGCATCTCCGAGAAATGGTGCTGGCTAAACTCAGTAGGTGCACATAGAGAAATGAAACTAGATTCTCTGTGGGAAACTCAATGCCACATGTACCAAGGACCTCCACACAAGACCAGAACCCTATTAGATAGAGGAGAAACTAGGGATTTATCTTGAGCTTCCTGACCTTCTGAACAGAACTCTGCTAGTTTAGGAACTAAAACTGGCAATTGATACACAAAATTGATACCCTTGAAACAACAAAGCTTCGGTCCAGCAAAACCACCACAACAGGAGTGAAGATGTAGTCTGCAAAATGCGAAAGTGTCTTTACTATTTATTTATCTGATAAAGTGTTAGGATCACAAATATGCAAAGAAACAAAACAAGTAAACATCAGAAAAACAAATAACCCAACTAAAAATGGGACATGAAACTAAATGGAGAGTTCTGGAAAAAAATGAGTACAAATGGTTGAGGTATATTTAAAAAATGTTCAACATGCTGGTCGGTGGTGGCACATGGCTGTAATCCCAGCCCCCAGCACTTGGGAGGCAGATCTCTTGGTTCCAGGCCAGCCTGGTCTTCAGAGTGAGTTCTAGGACAGCCAGAGCTACGCAGAGAAACCCTGTCTCAAACAAACAAAAAAGCGTTCAACATCTTTATTTTGAAAAGAAATGTAAATATGCTTGACATTTTATCTTATTCCATTGTGAAAGGCTAAGATGAAAAACAACCTGCCACAAACAGATAAACAGCACAAAAAACAACAAAGGAGGACGCAGGCTGGAGGGAATGTGGAGTGGGGACACCACTGACTGCTGGTGGGAGTGCAAACAGGTGCAGGCACTACAATCGTCGATCGTCGGTGCTCACATTCCACATCTTAGAAGTAGACCTACACCCTGATCCAGTTATTCCACTCTTGGGCCCATACCCAAAGGATTCTGTATCCTCCTACAGAGATACTTGCTTGGCCATGTTCATTTCTGCTCTCTCCACAACAGCCAGGAACTGAAACCAGCCTAGATATCCATGAACTGAAAAATGGATAATGAAAATGTGGTAAATTTGCTAAAAAAAATTATCCAACTCTTAAGGAAAATGAAATTATAAAATTGATAGGAAATGGATGGAGGTGGAAACAATTATTCTCAATGAGCTAAACCAGGCCTGGGAAGACAATTTTACAAATTTTCTCCCATTTGTGTATATTAGCTTTGAATCTTTAGATATGTATGTGTTATTTGAAATACCTGTAGATATAAAAAAGTAATAAGAGCCAATGTGTGTGTGTGTGTGTGTGTGTGTGTGATTGTGAGTGACTTTCAAGTGATGGTGGGAGAAAGCAGTGGTATAAAGAAAGGGGTAGAGCAGAATAATGGAACAGGAATGGATGATGAGAAAGCAGGGTAAAGGAGGGATTACGTAGAGGGACAACTACAACAAAATACCACTACCTGTCTGTCTGTGTCTTTGTGTGTGTCTCTCTTCTACGTTTAAACGGAGTTACCCTATAATGAGGCAACAATACTCCCGCTAAATACCAGAGACTAATAACTAAATAGCTAGTGACAAAAATGCCTGGATCAATGTTTTGGAGCAATTCACAGAAAGTTGTCCCTGTATGGAGAAAACAGATTTAACAATGGGGAGTCAGTTTATCCTGTCAATCTTCTTTTCTTCCCTTATAGCGCTATACCTTTGCTTAAATTCCTGTCTCCAGACTTAAAGGTAATGGTAAACCACACACAACGTAACACTGCCAACTTAGCCACCATAACTGCACACTTGGCATGAATAAATGTACCTGCGTAGATTTCACGCCTGCAGTCCTTGACACTTTCTGCTTCTGTGTCAGCTAGTTCTCTTTCCCCCTTTTTATTTTGGACTTTTGGTCATCAGTTGTTTTTTTTTTTTTTTTCTAGCAACCTGTTCCCACTTGTGCTTCTTGTAATTTATTATTCCTTCTGAACAGATTATAACCTTTCTCAGGTTCTCCATTGTCTAGTTAGAGTCTTCTTTGGATTAATTTTCTTCTGTTCTGTGATGATCTCTTACAAGCAGACAATTAAGATTCTGAGTGTGCAAGATAGCCAGGTGGCTGAAGTTTTTGTGCAGAAAGTCTAAGTGACCAGAGATTGTTCTCAGAACTGATACAAAGTAAAATATGACTGCTTTTATCTGTGGTCTCCTCACTTCTATGGCAAGATGGGGAGTGGAGACAGAAGAATTTCTCCAGAGTTCCCAGGCCAGTTAGACAGGCTGAGAGTACATTGTAGAGTGTGAGAAACAAGGGGGAGACCCTTCCTTAACAATGTATTAGCACAGGACCACTTTCAGGAAGCTGTTTCTAATCTTCACATGCCCACGGTGGTACTATTATTAATAAAACACATTTTAAACAAAGAAACTTTGTTTATTTTTTTGTCTTCAAATTTTACATAACATGATGGTCAAGTCCATCATTTTCCGGAGGTCATGAAGAGGAACAACTCTGAGCCATTTCCTCAAGTGTTCTTTTCTCTGGGAGCTTCTAAAAAGCAGCACAGATTATAAACCAACCACAGCTTCCCGTATGAGTCTCCAACATAGCACCACACAAAGGTCTGCATGATATTACTTACCCCAGCCGATCTAATTCCACTTCCAGCATGCAGAGTGGTAGGGAAGAGTTACAGCTTTTACCTCACAGATAAGGATGCCACAATAGAGTAACCAAAGAATGTTACAAATGACCCAAGATCAGGAAACATGGAGGCAGAAAAGTGTCAGTTGTCTCTGTTCCCACTCCCAGAGTTCCAGCAATTCTCTTCAGACGTGAATTCCTCCCGTAAAGACTTTTAGAGGTATACAGTTCAACTAGGAGAGAGGTTAAGATCGTGAATGGTTTTGGGTGGAGCAATCATGGCCTGGTGAAAAATGGAGAGTGTGTTAATAGGAAGAGACTAGCTGATTTGGATTTCTGCAGTGCAAAGGGCACACTGATAGCTGGAAAGGGGGTCTTGAACAGGATAGTGAGGACTAATGTCAGAGATGTGACATGGTTAGGGAGAGGAATGGAGTGGCTAAAAACAGACCTAAAGGTTTGCTGTTGCTAATTTCATTGTGACCAAATGAAGTATTTAAACTACTGTAGAAGAATGCAGATCAACTGTTGCCCAGTTGTCTTGAAAGACAAATCCAGAGAGAAACAGCAGCAGCACTGAGAACACTGGTGTGGAGACAGTTTTTATTTCCCCTGACCCTGGATCTGCAAACAAAGCCTCTGACGTCTGAATTTTTGTAGCCTTGCTTTGGCAGGTCCAAGTTGGGTTGAACTCCAGACTAGTAGCTGAGGGTTTAGCTATGGCCACCTTCTCCAAGGCATCGATCATGGGAGTTGTTGTGATTTTGCTGGAGAGCATTGCTTGGCATCTTTTCATAGTACTTCTTCCCCATTTTTCCTAATAGGACAAAAACTCCTCAAAGCTCAGCTCCTCCTCCTCTACCCCAACCCCCACCACCAAATATTGTCTGTGGGAGTCTCATCACTTTTCTCCTGTTTTGTAAAAGAAAGAAGGCTGTTAGCACTGTGTCCAGGGAAGAGGACCAGGAAGCACACCTGTGAAATGAATAGGGAAACTGAACCAGAGACTCCATTTAAGAATGAAAGTGAAGACCTGAGTGATCATGATGAAACAGATACTAAACCCTAATAAAGCTTTCTAATTTGCTCCTGACAACTCTCCACATTCAGATCTAGGACCTTCCTTGTTTTACAGAAGAGAAAACAATTATTAAGTCTAGAAATATTTCACGTGTAGAGGAAATTTAATTCAGAACATGGCTGCTCTGGAGAGAGATCACACCCAAAGACTTTCTAAGTCTGTGTAATCTGGCAGGCATACAAGCACGCCTTTAATCCAGGAGACAGAGGCAAGCAGATCTGAGTTCAAGGCCAGCCTGTCACAGATCAAGAGGCAGGTAAAGAAATGTTTAGGTCCAGGCATGATGGTACATGCCTTTCATCCCAAACAAGCCTCTGAGTCACTAATTGAAAAAGGTGAATAAAAATTACTTGTACATCCATGTTCATCCTTACAATAATGTTAACAGGCAGAAGTTGCATTTTTCTTGAGGAGGATGGGGGACAACCAGCCTTCCAAAGTTTGGATGGTTTTACAGATGCAGAGACTCTGAGTATTGGAGAGGAGAGGGGAGGAGAGGAGAGGAGAGGAGAGGAGAAGCAAACTCAGTCCTGATTGGAAGAGTCTTTGTAACCTCTCATCTCAGCCACTTTTCCCTCAATGTTTCCTCTGGAGGCAACGAGTTAGCAGAGCTCACTCAGGCTGCTTTATGGGAAACACTGAGGAAAACAAGCCTGTATGTTTTCTTGAAGGGATAAAGATTTCTAGGTGCTAAAGTGTGTGTGTGTGTGTGTGTGTGTGTGTGTGTGTGTGTGTGTGTGTGTAGGAGCAGACTCATGTGAAATGATAAATCTTATCATGTTTGAGAGCAAAACCAGCTGCAGATCTTCCATTCCCTGCCTGAGACACCTGGCTAAGCCCCTCCCAGAACCTGAGTGTCCCACAAGCAAGGTGTCTGCATAGGGAGTAGAATTCATGGAGGGCTCATGCTAAAGAGAAGTCTCCTCAGAAGATTCCTGTCAACCCCCTCTGTCTGCCTAACGCAGCATTCCCAGTCTGTGATGAACTCACTCGGGACAAGCTGTCTACTGCAGCTTAAAGATGCTTCAGAAGTTAAGAGCCCTCACCATTCTAGTTGAGAACATGGCTTCAGTTCTCACTGCGGCTCACATGCGTCTGTATTCCAACGGAAGAGGATCTATTGCCCTGTTCTAGCCTCCACAGGCAGTAGGCACCCTCTGCCCCCCACACATAATAAAAACACATGTATTACATGCAAAGAACTCATACACATAAAATAAAATACACACTGAAAAGAAAGAAAAGAGGAGTGTTATGTCACTACAACCTTCCAAAGTAGAAAATTTTCCACTTTATATGTGCTCAAGTGAGGCTGGGATTTTGCTCCTAGATGTCAGTCCATGGAGATGCAATGAAGACCTGTTTGTTCCACCCGTCTCCACCTTTGCCCTTATTTTGCCAAGTTTGAAAACAGAATACTAACTATACTGGAATGTTCTTTCTACATTTTCTTTTTTTCCTGCACTTTTACCCTCCACTCCAGTATGTGAGCAGCCTCCAGCTGAGGCTTAGCGTCTTTCCACTCTTCACTCAAAAACCATCCTGGGATGTGTCCCTTAACAGAGATCTGACCTCAGCTCAGATGGTCCAGCTTCATAGTGGACATCTTTTTCCATAACCATTCAACTGTATTTCACTTTAGGAAAACCACCTACTCTATCCTCCATTTACTTAGGGCATTGGGTTGAACTGTATTCTTAATTTTGTACAGTCATTGGTGGGCTGCTATTTCTCTTTGTGTAGAACAGGGTAACACAGGGCAGTCCAGCTATAACCTCCTGAGGATCATCATCAGTATTTAACTATGAGCACCTCTAGCACAACTAGTACTGAGTACTAGTTGCCTCTGAACGGAAAGTGCTTGAAATTTCTGCCAGACAGTTGAAGTCTGCACCCTTTTCCCTCCGGAGAAGTGCTACCTTGATGAAATTGGGTATTTCTTTTATACTCCATTTGTTTCCCTTCCTTCTCAGTGCCTCACAGAATACTTTTGTAGGTGTCTGTTTTGTCTAGCAGGCTGCGTTCCATTGGTGACAAATATTGAGCCATCACACACTGAAGAACGGAGAAGTAAAGACTGCGAGAAAAGGCGATCTCCAACTTTTCTTGACCATTTTCTGACAACTAAAAGAGAGAAAGGAGAAGAGAGCAACGAATAAAAAGAAAGCCAAGGTTCAATTTGTTGGGGAGAAAGCTTATCACTCATGTGTCAAAAAAGGAATTTTGATCCTCTAGAGAAGGGGTTTTTAACTTTCCTAATATGGCAACCCTTTAATCTAGTTACATAGGTTGTGATTAACCCATAACCATAAAATTATTCTTGTTGCTTTTGCATAGCTGTAATTTTGCTACTCTTATGGACTGTAATATGTTGGGCCTGATAAGGCCTGCTGTATCTACCTGAGCCTGGCTCGAGTTTGGAGACATGTCTTTAGCTTCCGATTTAAGAGGCACCACTTCTGGGCAAAAGTGATTCAGCATATCTGCCTTAAAATTAACCCTGCCTTAAAAAAACCCTGTGGAGTTTTGTTGGTGGCTCACCTCTCCTTGAGTTACCTAACCTTGACCTCTTTGTCATCTTACCTCACTTCCTTAACCCTGCCCCCTGCCCCAAACCTATAAAAAGGACAGCTTTATTCAATAAACTGAGTTCCTGCTTCGACAGTTCTCCCGGCTCAGTGGTGATTTATTCCCTGGGGCATCCAGGGAGGTTTGGGCCGTGGACACTCATCATCCTGCTCAGCCATGGAGGGCGCCCAGCTGGACTGTCCACCCTCTTCTCAGCACTACCTGCCCAGCAGACTGTTGCCCTGTGTGAGGATCCTTCTCGATGGAAGAACGCTGACTGGTCTGCAGGTGAGTGTGCCCCAGTTAAATACGGGGCAGTCCTCTTCATCTCAGAAATCCAACCCAGGTCTGGAATCCCTACCAATTTTGCTTAAAAGTAGGGGTTTCAATCTGCTTGATATTCAAGCCCTTCAAGTATGGAAGTGTGTTATTAAGGTTGCTCCATGGCTGCCGGACGAGAGCGCCTTGTTTGACTGGACACCTAGGACCAAGTAGAAACCCTGGTCAACATAGCACAGGTCCCGGATGGGGTTATCCCCCCTCTGGGAGTCATTCCCCTGGTCACAGCCCTTAAGGGCTGCTTCTCTCCGAGACCGCCCAAAGAGCATAAGGATAAGGGTAGGAGACAGGAAAGTGGACCGGAGGAGGAGCTGCCCCCCTAAAAAAAGGAGGAAGGCCCCGGGGCCAAGACCAGCATTAGAATGCCCCCTGGCCAGTCCCTACCCCTCCGGCTGTGCCACTGAAACAGGGCTCGCTTACTAACCCCTTTGTTGGCCCCTCTACACCCCTCCGTATTTGGAGAGACCGGAGGAGCTATTCCCAGTCACAGCCACTCCTGGGGCTGCCGGTTCCCCCAGCTGGGTGCCTTAGGGGGCTCTAGACCTCAAGGAACTTCATAAGGCAGTGGCAGAGGGCGGCCCCAATTTGCCTTGGGCTGAGACCTTACCAATGCTGTCCTTTTGGGGCTGCCCTTCCTTAAATGGCTGGCCTTTTACAAGGAGGAATACAGGGTCCAGGGGGAACACAATCAACGAGCAACCCCCAGGTGCCTATAACTTATGGAATGCTTTTGGGCACAGCTGACCAATATTCCACAGGCCTCCAGCAGGCTGCTCTGCCAGCCCCTTATCAGGAGCAGGTTAGAGCAGCAGGGTTGGCCACCTGGAGAAAGCTAGATGAGGGGCCTATAGAATCCCCTGTTTCAGGAATTATACAAAAGGCCTCAGAGGACCTACCTCCCTTCATAGACCAGGTAGATAAAAGTCTGAGGAGAAAGTTTACCCTGGGGAAGCTTCGCGATCAGTTTGTTAAGTCGCTAGTGTGGGATGGCATGAATTCAGATCACAAGCTGGCCTGTGCGAGGATGGGTAAGTGGATTTTCGCCTCTCAAGATGTAGGGACCACCTCCTTCCAGGCCAGGGCAATGGCTACCGCCATGCACACAGCCTGCCAGGAGGAAATGACTGCATTAGTCAACACCTTTCAGCAGGTCACTAGGCCTCCAGGGGCGGACATGCTTTGGCTGTGGATAGAACGGCCATTTTAAACGAGAATGCCCCAACAGGTCTCAAAATGCTCCTGATGCCAGCACAACAGGCACCTCACCGCGCAAGCCCTGTTCCAAATGCAAAAAGGGTTTTTGCTGGGCCAAGGATTGCAGATCCCAATTTAACCTTAAAGGTGAACCTTTACACTCCCCTTCGGGGCCATCCCCAGCCCCGTTAAATAAGGGGAAGAGAAGGACCAAAGTTCATTGGACTGTTCCCCTGGCCCCTGGTACGAGACCTAAAATGACACTCACAATCCGGGACAGGAGCTTTGAGTTCCTAATTGATACCGGGGCAGATCTTACTGTGATCAGAAAGGAGGAGGCCCCTCCCTAATGGGTGTGGACAGACAATCAACATCATGGGAGATTGCCAACTGTCTGCCTCGGGGTGGATCCTGACAGCAACCAAGGAGAAGGGCGCCCCCTAGCGGCCCTTGCTCTTACTGCAACCTTTTGGGACAGGATGTTCTTGGTGAAGCCCAGGCCTATATTACCACTGATCATAAGGCCCTCTACCAAGACATCTTTGACCATGAGGAATATGAACAGCAATTTGAGCAGGGACGAAATGTCCATTCCAACTACCGAGATGATCTTTCTTTTGAGCAATTAAGAAACAGACATTCTCTGGTTCACCCCAATTCTGAAGGCCACTGCTCACCCTTGGGTCCCCAAAATTCGATGGAACCCAGGGAACCCAGTCTGGGTTGAGCAGTGGCCTCTACCTTTTGCTAAGCTAACGCAGGTAAAACTTTGTTCCAACAGCAACTCGATCTGGGGCACATAAGGGCCTCTACTAGCCCTTGGAATTCACCTGTTCTTGTGATAAAAAAAAGGCCAATGGCTCTTGGAGAATATTACATGATCTAAGAGAGATTAATGAGAGGATTATATCCTTTGGGACCCCTCAAAGGGGATTGCCCTGGATCCCTGCCACCCCTTGTGGTCTCCATTTGACTGTAATTGATAGTAAGGATTGTTTCTTTTTTTTTTTTTTTTCTTTTTATTTTATTTTTAGTTACAATTTGTTAGGATTGTTTCTTTTCTATCCCACTCCATTCCAGGGATACAGAAAAGTTTGCCTTTTCATTACCCTCAATAAATTTTCAGGGCCCAGAACAGAGGTTTGAGTGGATGGTGTTGCCTTTAGGGCCTGGCCAATAGTCCTGCTATGTGCCAATATTATATGCTGCACCTTTTCACTCCTTTAATAAATCAAACAGATGCCTTATTTTATATCTACATGGATGATATTATTTTGGGGAGTCCCAGCCCTGCCAGGTTGCAAGACTTGATAACTAAATGTCTTACTATGCTTAAAGACAATAACTTTAAGGTGGCCCCTGAAAAAATTCAGATGCTCCCCCCTTTTAAGATCTTGAGATCCACACTGTTTCTTGAGAGGGTCTCCCTGATGAGGCCACAGTTACATTTTTAAGATTCTTACTCCTTAACTCAATTCCAAAAATTGCTAGGAGAGATTAATTGGATGCAGCCATGGATTCCCATTCCCACAGAGGACCTATCCCCACTTTTTGACCTTTTAAAGGGCTCTGATCTTACTAGAAAAATTGTTTTATCCTCTCAACATCAACAAATTTTGCAAAAGGTTCAACAAGCTATAGATATGACAACTTTAAAGAGGTTTGAATCTGATGGTCCTGTCACCCTGTATCTCTTCCTTGGGGAGGCCCTCTGCACTGCTATATTAGCCCAAGATGGAGAACCCATCCATTAGATTCAGCTTTCAGTTGGAGGGTCCCCACGGGTTTATCCCATGACTTACCAAATAGTAGATTGTATTATTAAAGGAAGAAATATTTCAGTTAGAGTGTTTGGCTTGGAACCACACTCTTTGACAGTTCCCTACAAAATAGCTGACTTTACATGGCTTCAGAGAAACAATTTCAGGATGGACTTAGCCTTGGAAGGGTTTCAGGGTACTACTAATTGTCACTATGGCCCCCCATAAGTGGATGAGCTCCTTTTCACGATTAGCCTGGAGACCACCAAGACTTTTTCTCCCGCAACTTAATCCCAAATTTCTAATGATATTTAAGGATGGTGGAAATAGGGGAGCCTCATTAGTGATATATCCACCCCATGGGCCCAATGTTAAAATGATTCCTGTCTAAGCCATTACCCAGGAGTTTGAAGGCTCGGCTCCCTTCAAGGAGCTTCATGCAGTTGTACTTGCCTTGGAGAAGGCTAGGAGCCCTTTAATTTGTTTTCAGATAGCCTTTATGTTGTAAATCTGCTACCTTCCTTAGCTGAGGCCCATATTAAAATAGATGCAATTCCCATAACTTCTCCTATGATTCAGGCCTGTTTTTTTGCTTCGACAGAGAGCTAACCCCCTATATCTACAACATCTCAGAGGACATCAAAACCTCCCCGGATTCCTGTCCGAGGGAAACGAGCTAGCTGATAGTTTGGCATCTGGGACACAACTAAGTAGAGTGACTGAGGCTTCAGACTTCCATTCCTTGACTCATACTAATTGGAGAGGCCTCAAAGATAAATTCCCACAAGTCCCTGTTAAAGATCTTAAAAAGATTATTAGAACTTGCAGGTCATGCCAACTGTTCCTTCAATTACCACCCCTCTAAAAGTCAGGTATCAATCCTAGAGGATTGCATCCCAATAATCTTTGGCAGATAGATGTGACTCACTATTCCCCATTTGGCAAAATAAAATACATTTTTCTTTCAGTGGATACATTCTCGCATGCATGTTGGGCCTCAGCGAATGCTGTAGAGAAGTCCAAACAAGCTATTAGTCATATGCTTCAGTGTTTTGCCATCTTGGGTCTACCTGACAGCATTAAGACAGACAACAGTCCATACTTTATAAGCAAACTGTTTTGGGAATTCTTACAGACATGGAAAATTTCTCATACTACTGGCATTTCTTATAATCCAAAGGGCCAAGCCATAGTATAAAGATTTAACCAAACTTTAAAGATACAATTACAGAAACAAAAAGGGAATCATTACCTCCTCATGATCAATTGAAAAAGGCATTATTTTCTTTAAATATTTAAAAAATTTCAAAAGATAATCAGTCACCATTTCAAAAACATTGGTCTATATCCACTCCATATAGTTCCTTAAGAATCAGATGGAGAGATCCACTGACAGGAGCTTGGAGAAGCCCTGACCCTCTCCTCACAGCAGGAAGAGGATTTGGATGTATATTCCCCAAAGATGAGAAGAGGCCCATATGGGTGCCAGCTAGAGATATAAAATATTTGCCACCACTAAAGGGTGAGGATGACAATGATAACCCCTCCAGGGAGTTATCTATCCCTGAGAAGCATTCTTTTATTTCTCCAGAAACCAATGAAAATGTGGAAGATGATCCTTTTCCTGGTGACCCTTAAGATCAGTGAAAGGGGATTTGGAGATCCTGCCAAGGCCTGAGAGATTATAGAAGGATGGGGCCTAGCTCAATCTCCCTGCTTTGGCATGGCAGGACAGAGGGTCTGTTGGAACTGTGAGGCCCCCATTGGGTATACAGACGGTGGGGGTATTGAAGACTTAATTACCATCCACTGGTTTTATTTGAATATTAAATATTTTAAATGTTTTAAATATTTTAAATCACTCCCCTGTTCCCTTTTCTGGACCTTTCCACAGGGGACTGCTTTCGGGAACTACCTCGTCCTGATAATGGCAGCATTAATGTTGGGGGTGTCCACTCCTCCCTCTGTCACTACAACTCCATCCTGGAGAAATACCTTCTTTGCCCCCCAGCCCCGGAATGGTGTTCCTTTGTGGGGGAGGAATGGCCTTTCCCTCAAAGACCTCCAAGATCAATTAGACTCCCCGGCAGAGGAAGATCTTCAAAATAGAAGGGGTTTGGACCTACTAACTGCCAAAAAAGGCGGCATCTGCTTGTTTTTGTAGGAAAAAATGCTTCTACACCAACAAATCAGGCATTGTCGGAGATAAAATTAAAATCCTCCGAGAAGATTTGGAGAGATGACGCTGAGAACATCAATAAAACCACCTGTGGACTGGCTTTCCCGGCCTCTTGCCCTATATTCTTCCTCTACTGGGACCCTTACTTCTCCTTCTACTACTTACCCTTGGGCCATGTATTCTTAACAAGCTCCTACAGTTTATCCAGCAGAGGTTAGAGGCAATTAAACTGCACCAAGTAGAAATACATACATTATCATTGGTTAGCTACTTAGGAATCCAACTTCGCCTAGGGCCAGGCATCTTCCTAGAAAAGACCCTCCTCTGCCCTCCATCTGACTAATGATGGGTAAGATCCCAGATGTGCTGGGGCGACCTAAGACAGGTCCCGGAGGAGCTCCTGACAAGCTGGCTACATGGTAGTCAATGATTGGTAAGATCACCATGTGGGGGACAACCTAAGACAGGGGCCATGTCCGCTGTCAAATAAAAGAAAAAGGGGAAATGTTGGGTCTGATAAGGCCTGCTGTATCTACCTGAGCCTGGCTCCAGTTTGGAGACCTGTCTGTAGCTTCCGATTTAAGAGGCCCCACTTCTGGGCAAAAGTGTGGTACTGCTCAGAGTCAACAAATCCCTCGTCAGATTGGCATCTTATTGATGCCTGTTATCCTCCACAAATTAGTATTGTCTTATTTAGTTTTTTATTGCTGTGAAGAAACACAGCAATAGGAAGTTGGCAACTCTTACAAAAGAAAGCATTTAATTGTTGCTTGCTTACAGTTCCAGAATTTTAATCCATTATCATCATGTTAGGGAGCATGGTACCACAGAGGTAGACAGGGTTCTGGAAAAAATATCTGAGAGTTTTACATCAGGTTCTAAAGGTAACAAGAAG